CAGGTGTCTCACCTCTGAGACAGGGTCGTGCTTCCACAGAATCAGGGGTACATAGCTCTGTTTACTATTCTTTTTGAGACAGAGATACCCCTTTAAAGGTACTCTTGGAAAATTTATCTGCCAGGTGCTGATGACACTTTTGAGTTCAAAAACCCGGACACATTGTCCTTCACTCAACTCAAGGGCAGGAACTGGGTATCTTAGGCCCTTAATCCACATGCTCAAGATCTTTTTTTAATGTTTATTTATTTTTGAGACAGAGGGAGAGCGTGAGTGGGGGAGGGGCACAGAGAGAGGGAGATACAGAATCTGAAACAGGCTCCAGGCTCTGAGCCGTCAGCACAGAGCCTGATGCAGGGCTTGAACCCACGAACCGTGAGATCATGACCTGAGCTGAAGTTGGACGCTTAACCGACTGAGCCACCCAGGCGCCTCGTGCATGCTCAAGATCTTAAAACTGATGACTTGGGGCACCTGGGTGGCTCAGTCGGTTGAGCGGCCGACTTCGGCTCAGGTCATGATCTCACACTCCGGGAGTTCGAGCCCCGCATCGGGCTCTGTGCTGACAGCTCAGAGCCTGGAGCCTGCTTCAGATTCTGTGTCTCCCTCTCTCTCTGACCCTCCCTCGTTCATGCTCTGTCTCTCTCTCTGTCTCAAGAATGAATAAACATTAAAAAAAACAAAACAAAAAAAACTGATGACTTGTGAGAAAGTTCGGTTTTAACAAAACTGAAATAACAGCTCTAAGAAGTGGGCAATATGGAGCCCATTATGATCATCCCTGTTCTCACTATATAAGAACACAGGTTTGACAACTTTCCTGGATCAACAGAAAGGCACAAAGACTGACTCCAAATCCCAGAAATTTGTCTTGCCACACCTCACCTGAAAGATAGCCAAAACAATGAGGATGCCTAACACCTGGGGCTCTAGGTCAGGTGGGAGGTCTGAAATCGAAGCTGTTGTCCTGCAGGATTTCTCCAAAGTTTGGGTTCTTCACAAGGAAGTTTGCATCCTTTACTTCCTCCCCATTTGGCTCTCCTAGCCTGTCCTCTTTTTGACACTGAACATTGTTTCTGCTCTCGACATTGATTACATCTGTAAACAGCTAGTCTCTGGAAAGTGCTCCATTTGGCTGTCAGCTCTGTATAAAGTCTATTATCCACTAAGTAGCATCAGCTTCTTCCTCAAAGTCATCATCCTCTGGAGAAGGGTCAACAATCAGAGGCAGAGAAGTTTGCCGTGCAGGGCCCTAATAGACTCCAGAGGCCACTTTAGAAAAAGTCACCAGGGACCTCAATGCATCAGCAGGGCCATGGAGAACCCGCCCTGTGGCGTAGATTTTGTCGCCAGCACGGTCTGAGCTAGTTACAACAAGGATATGGCTGGTCCATGCCTATATTCTCAGGGGGCTCATTCTAGACAGCCCAGGGGTGCAGCTCTCAGAGATGCTGGTAGGCAATGCCTTGACCTGCTTAGGATACAGAAGGCAGAGGTCAGCCCTGTGAGCTCTGTACCCAGGCCAGACTGTCCCAGACCTATGAAAACAAACCTAGGCTGCGGCCTCTTGGAGACCCATTTATGGATTTCCTGGAAAATCCACACCTGTTCAGGGAGTCTGAGACCATCCCTGAATAGGTGCTTCCAGAGGCAGTCCCCAAAGAGGCTCAGAGGTTCCCCTTTGCCACCCTGAATTTTGCAGGGGGCTGCAAAAATATTTTACCCTCAAATGCGTCCATCACCTATGTGCTGCTCACGTAGACCGGCGGGTGCTAATACTATTTGGTTCTGGCTTGCCTCTCTAGCCCCAAGGCCTTCATTCACGCTCTTCAGATGGGTTAATGCAAAGAGGAAAACAGATGGGACCTGAGAGATCAGCATTCAGCAGGGACAGGCTGAGGGGTGCTAACTCCATCCCCTCTTGGGCTCCTGCTGGAGGGAGGCGGACAAAGCAGCTGTGGAGAGAGATGGCTCAGTGGGGTTGCTGGAGCCTATGTAAGCTCAGGGCATGGGCTATACTGGTTGGGTTTGGGTTTCCTTAAGTCCTCCAGGAGCTATTCCAGCCAGTGGAGGGGGCTAGAGGCTAGAGCAGGGGTTGTGGACTACAGGTCTGCGGACCAGGCTTGGCCTGCAGGTATGCACGGTGTGGTTCACACAGTATTTATTTTTTTCCCGTTAAATTAGTTGCCAATGCTTTAAAAATAGACTTATCTTTAAATCTGGATTTCCCACCTGCTGTGAAGAATGAGACTATCTTACAGCACCGGGCCTACATGGGCAGTCAGCTAAAGGCGGGGAGCAAGTGCCTCCTTTAGACAAGGCCACTCCATGCGTAGGCGTAGAGCTCCCAGGGACGGCGTACCCAAGGGCGGTGGCGTCAACAGGCAGTTGTCAGAAGGCCAGGCCTCACACTGATTGGGAAGGGGCCTCACTCAGAGCTCCGCAGGCCTCAGAGCAGGAGGCCAGGCTTGGCTCAGAGCATGAATAGTCTCCAAGGGCTGGCAAAAAGAAGCAATTGTTTGCGTCCCTCCTCCTCCTCAGGGCTGGGAGTCCTCCTAGTTCCTACCACCAGAAGCCAAGAGCCCTGCGGTCCAGGATATCAGCATCAGACAAGCAAGTCCCTGCCTGTCCTCAGTTCAGAGGACACATGCATAACATCCTGTAAGCTACAGACGGCATTACCTCAGCACCGTGGGGCAAGAAAGAAGTGCCTTTTCAAACAGCATCAAGCAGATTTCAGGAAAGGACTGGCATGTGCCACAGAGGGTTCAACTCGGGCTTCAGAGCTGGGAACCCAAACGTCTCCAGCTCAGGTACCACCAAGCCCAGCAAGTGGGAGCCGAGGCTCAAATAAGTCCCGTGAGTTGAACTCAGGAGGTGCCAAAGAGGAGTCTTCCACACTCCCTTCGTTTTATCCTTGAAAGATGGAGGGAACACAGTGAACGTTATGAGCATAAAAATAACTTGGGTAAGTTCAAGGGAAGATCTTTAAACCTGAGAGGTAACAAATAAGACCTACCACACTCCAAAATATACCAAGCCAAGACATCCACCTCTGTGGCACATACGAACCACAGGCCTGGTACCTCACCCACAACACAAAAGATAATTGATCTTAAGACTTTTTCAAAAGTCTAAAATCCAGTCCATGGGCTGATGTTTGAAGAGCAAGACAGCCTAACCAGGTGGAGCTGGGAACCGACACCAGACTCCTTGACCCAGAGATGCTGACGAGGGAGCAGAACCATTGTGCAGAGAGGGGTGTAGGGCAGCCCTGGAAGAGCAGCCGGGACAGGCGGTCAGGTAGCTCAGGCACCAAATGCGGCCATGCTCTGACCTCCGATCCCGGGGACTGCCACCAGGCAATGCCTTCCTGAAACATCAACCTGACGTTTTCCAGACACGTTCCCTTCCACATTCAAATCTTCTTTGTTCTCTGGGGTTTTGCAATACTCCATCCCCACCTCAAAGCCACACCTCTATCACTCTTTGTGAAAATGCTTTCCCGCCCTTTGAGAGCTTTCCATTTTCTTTCCTGGTTTTCAAAAAGAAGACCCAGCTTAAAAAAAATAAACTCAACTCCTCCTGCTACTCAGGGAATAGGATGAGCAAGAGAAATGCACACAATTTAAATAGAAAAATCAAATGGAGCCACGAATGTGGTAACTTATTAATCAGAGATGAAAAGAAAGCAAACTAGAAAGCATACAGCTTCTGAGCTGTTGGGACTAGTTCCATCTAGTTGAGGACATCTACACAGAAGTACTGACTTAAAAAAAAAAAGTTCTTGAAATGCACTAAAAACTAAGAAATACTTGGAAGCAAACGTTTCTCCTAAGACCAAAGGTCAAATGCAAAGCCTGTGTTCATTACCATTCTATCAAAATGCTATTTGAATTTTATGCTGATCATGACAACAAAAAACATTCGAGCTCTGGGGGAAAGATTACATATAAGCAGCCATCTACTTGAACCCATACATGTTAAGGGACTGTCATTCTTTAAATAATTAGTGAGCACCTCCCATGCAACAAGGACGATTCCAGGAGCTCCAAAGCATAAACCGTGATTGAAGTGTGTGTGTGTGTGTGTGTGTGTGTGTGTGTGTGTGTGTGTGATTCCCAAAATTGCTGAAAATATAAGAACCATTCAAGGAAGTTAGATCATCTTGATAGATTTCATAAAATTTCTAATCAGCCTCTCAAAAGATTTGGAAAAGCCTGAATAAAAACTCAACACCCCTTTCTAAAAATTCAGCTCATCATTTACCATTCGGTAAAATCGTTCAAGGGTAGAAAAATGATTATTTTACTTTCCCTTCAAAAAAAAAAAGCCTCTCAGTGGTAGTATACAGTAAGATTTAAAAATGGAAAAAACTTCACTCTGATGCTAAGCATACAAAATCAGAGAACCAAATCGTATCTGTGGTGTAAAGAGAGCTTTGTAAATTACACCTATACCTGATGACAAGGAGGATGAAAAGGAAACAAGACATTTACGAGATTTAATTGAATGGGATGAGAACAGCTCCATTTTTCATGTTGACAGCAATTAAATTACATTAAAATATTATGTGTGTAATACATTTTATCAAAGAAGACTCCGCAAACTGGGAGGGGAAGAGGGAGGTGGGAAGGGGGCACACAGGAAGCTAACCAACTTCCTCAAACCCCAGATGCCGCCAACAGTCAAGCTGTGGCTGGTGTCAGAAGGGTGACTTTGTCAGCACAGCGCCCCTGAACCTGGCTAGATCAAGTGCCACCTGGGAATCTGTCTAACCAGCTCAACAGGTTATTCCTCTCGGGCCAGCCCTTCTCGCCCCTCCCTGCAAAGCTCAGTTGGGGCAAGTTTCACCTGCTGTACAAACACCACACGCAGAGCGCCCAGCCTACCTCCAGGCAGGATGGGGGAGTGAGTAGTGAGAGCGGTGACTGGACACAGCGACTTTTAACACACGAGCTGCGTTATAACCCCAGGGCCTTCAGCCCTCACGCCCTTACCTGTTGAAGCATCTCTTCGGCGGCATTGAGTTTCACCTGGTGTCCTTCCAGGCACACCTCCAGGTCCCGAATCTTTTCTCCTTGTGCTTCCACTTGGTCTGTGAGGACACTCACCTGCCCCAGGAAATAAAGCAACGGTAGAGGAGCAGAAATGGCTCACCTACTGCTGGGAAACCATACTACTGATCCATACATCAAAATGCCTTTTCTTTTTGGCGGGCAGCAGGTGGGGGGAGTGAGTGTCCTGGATGGAGAAAACTCCAGCTGTTTTCTTACCTTGCCATTGCCTAACTGACGTTGTCACATTTCCTGCTCTTGACACACTCCAGAGAAAAATACCCAGCAGTCAGGAGAGCTGCCTCCGGGCTGGACTCCCACTCCTTAGTCCTCTTACAGAGCTCGCTCTAGCAGTCCGGACCTCAAGGCATATCTCTGCCGGCAGGCCAGGGCTCTGCCACCTCATGTGGAAGAGCAATCCAAACTCCTGGGGAAACTAACCAATGACCTTACCTCTCTCATAAGGGTGTGAGGGCTGCTCACCTATCAGGCGAGTGTTCTGAAGCAATTAAGGAATGTGGGATGTAAAGGGCATGTAGTAGCACCGACAAAACTTGGCTCCAGAAAGGATTTTGTGCTTCACGGGCCAAAACATGACTCTAAGTCATAACACACACATGCCACATTGCACATAGAGTGGCAGGAAAGTCGTCTTTCTAAAAATCATGAAGAAGATCTCTTGGGATTAATAAAGATCCATTTATAGGAAGTCCTTTAAATTACACCCTAACTACATATGGAGGATTTCCATAGTCTGCTCTAGTAGCAAACTGCCCCCAGATCCTCCCTTTTATTAAAAAGGTGCCTCAGAGCAGGAAGATGAAGAAAGAGAATGGATGGCCTCCCCAAATAAAGAAATCAATGACTGGTAAATTAAGATCCTTTAGACACTTTTGGTTTTCAACCAATGGTTGAGTCATTGTCATTTACATATAGATTATCCTAAATGATTTCTCAGTCTGTAAAGGAATGATAGCTGGAGCACGAAGGAGTTAATGTAATTCACTTATGAGCGTTTAAATAAACTATCAGTTATAGGGGCACCTGGATGGCTTAGTCGGTTAAGCATCTGACTTTGGCTCAGGTTATGATCTCGCAGTTTGTGGGTTCAAGCCCCGAGTCAGGCTCTGTGCTAACAGCTCAGAACCTGGGGCCTGTGTCTGGGGCCTGGATTCTGGGTCTCCCTATCTCTCTCTCTTTCTGCTCCTCTCCCACTCATGCTTTCTCTCAAAAATAAACATTAAAAAAAAAATTACAAAGCTCCCTTTACAAAGGAAAAAAAAAACCCAAATGAATACTGCTACTTTAAGCTCTCCATTTTTATGTTCCCAAATGGATAAAGAATTATTGAAACCTATTCTTGGAGTTGATACACAGTGTACAAATATTCCAGTTATAATCCAAAAACAGGTGCCTTCTGCCAGTTAGGCCCATCTTGAACACAAACCTTCGTGGTGGTTTTTTCAATCCTCATGACCCAACACTCTCAGCAGTCCTGGCCTTTTATAGCTACTAGCTGTACTTTCAAAGGGGTAGGAATCCAGAGGGTGGCCTTTCAGAGCTCCCTGGGTTTCAGAGTTTCTGTTTGGGAAGGTTGCGTTATGGTTAATCTTATTATGAGGATTAACACATATCATCTGCACCACACCTCAGGGCCATGCGCTGGCGGTACCCACATGAATATGTGGTCTCCAGCGTTCCATGCCCTGTAGCTCAGCTGTGTGTAAGACTCAAGACATGCAGGGCTACGGGCTCTTTACAAAACTTTTTTTTTTTTCCTTACAAACTTGAATACAGTAGAAAGATCATGGAGAGAGGCACAGAAAATTGGGACAACTGTATAAAGATCCTAGAAGGTGACCTTTATTCAATAAAAACAAATACTTTGAGTCCCTAACTCTGTGCTAGGCATAATTTTAGGCACTGTGGGGAATACAGAAGTGGAAAAAAAGGGAGGGGGTGAAAATCCTTGTCTTAAAAAAATGACATTCTGATGAAGATATAAAAGATTTTGATTTTAGTGTATATGCTGCCAAAGTGAGCACAGAAGATTGTGTGTGTGTGTGTGTGTGTGTGTGTGTGTGTGTGTGTGTGTGTTTTAAGTATTATGAAAACAAAGTAATTTGTTATGTGTGATTTGCCTCATTCTTCTCCAAGTAGATCTAGGAAAACATTCTGGGCCAAGTGATTGAATTAATTCAGTCTGGCTGAGCTGCCTTGTAAGTTAAGCAAAAGGCTCTACCATGTTGAGGGTCTAACCGGCTCCATGGGTCACTACAAAACAGGGTGGTCACCTACGAGCAGCTCTGAAAGGCTGTTCACAAGCTCCTGGAATAGAAACCACTAGGATCCACTTCTGACTTCTGTGATTAGTTTCCCATGTGTGTTAGGAGTGGAAATAAGGATTCTTCAAGGATTCAGGGTTTAAAAAAATTTTTTTTTTAATACTTTATCTTATTTTTGAGAGAGAGACAGAGTGTGAGTGGGGAGGGGCAGAGAGAGAGGGAGATACGGAATGCGAAGAAGGATTCAGGGTTTAAAACAAAACTGTGAATGCCAAAGAGAACATTATCACAGAGGACTTTACTAAATTGTGTACCTTTAAACAGAATGTGTGGTTTCAGCCACAAAGGTTCCTGGTTCAAAGGTTTGTGAGTTCATACTTTTTGCCACAAAATTTCAAATTGGAAACTCTGATCAATTGCGTCATTGGGACGGAGTTTCAAATTACACATCCCTCAAAATATGTGCGATATAATGTGCTATATAATCTGTCCCCTCCTACCTCTCTGAAGGTAGTTCCTCCCCACCAGATTTCTTCACGGTCATCAACTCCAGCCACACAGACCCTTGTTGTTCATCCTATACACCAAGCACACTCCTTGTTCAGGGTGTGTGCGGGGCCAGCCTCCCTGCCTGGAATGTGCTTCTCTGGGCATCCACGGGGATCCCTCCTCCCTAGCTTGCTTCAGGACTCCTATCAGGGAGGTCTTCCCTGACTACATAATCCTTACCCTGCTTTCCTTTTCTCCATAGGATTTATCACTGTCAGAAACCTTTTATGTATTGGTTTATTGGAGAGACACCCCACCCCCCCCAACACACACACACATTCTGTAAGAACAGCAACTTAGTTTATTTTCTTCACGGCTGCAACCCCAGCACCTAAAACTAGTGTCTGCCAAATTGCAGTTGCTTACATATACATATTTAATGTTTATTATATATTTTTGAGAGAGAGAGAAAGAGAAAAAAAATGAGCATGGGAGGGGGAGGGGCAGAGAACAAAGGGGAACAGAGGATCTGAAGCAAGCTCTGTGCTGATAGCAGAGAGCCTGATGCAGGGCTTGAACTCATGAACGAACCATGAGATCACGACCTGAGTCGAAGTCAGATGCTTAACCGGGTGAGCCACCCAGGTACCCCTCAAATATTTTTTTAATTAACAAATTAACGGGAAAAAAAGATATAAATTATATAATTGCACATTTGGCCCAAGCTTATTTAAAATAGGGACAGGGAAAAAAAGAAAAGGCTAGGGAAAAAAGGCCAAAATGTTAAACTCCCTTTTTGACTTCCAAAATTCCTAAAATAATCATTCATTACTCTTACATTCATAAGATGAATAAGATGAAATAGAAGGAAAAAAAGCCAAATAGCCTCTTAATTCCAGTGCTCTAAGCTAAAGCCCACAGTGGAGGGTTCTAGAACCCTACCCTGCCCCCTCTCCCAAAACACTACCAGCCCTGTCTACCACGCTTCAAGATTTTGAAGGAGCCAGGACTGGAATATGTCCTTTCTGATCCTCCAAATCATCAATCACAGTGCCTGATACATACCAGGCACTGAACAAATGCTTGATTTATGCGTTTGAGAGTGAACACAGCAAAGAGCCCCTATCACAACAAAAGGCCTCATGTAAGAATGCTCAACTTCATGTCCTGCCAAGGAACAGGAGTTTTCAGAACTGAAATGTTCCTTTGACTATCTTTCTCCATAACAAGTTTTGGAGTTCCTTTCTTTGAGGCAAGAAAGTCATCAAAGGCTCATTAGCCCATGTTACCAGCTCCAGGGGATTTGGCCTCAAAGTGATCAGTCTAGATCCAGCTCCAGACGATTTGGGCCTGATCCTGTCAGCATCCAACCTTACATCCATATTACTCACGGCTGTTTCATTAGAGACATGAGGACACATCTTATCTCCCTTAGAAGATTCCTGGGCTCCTAGAGGACAGGGCCTCATTCATCAGCCTGGCCACAGAGCTTCCAGTGTACAGGCTCAGTAGTACAAGGATGAGTAAAGGAACACATTCACGGCCCGAAAGCCAGTCCAGCGTTTCACTGTGGCCTCAGTGACTTTCTGCTTTGTTTCAGGAAGAGTCTATTTAAAAAACATACACTTCAGGAGCAGGATAAATCCAACAGGGAAAAAAAACCTCTTGTACTTCCCTTCCACTTAGGGCACTTACAGAGGCGGAGGTAACAGGATAAGCCGTTTCCCATGAAAAAGGACCCACCTGTAAAATGAGGGACTCCTTATCTCCTTCTAGACGTGCCAAGCGTTCCTGGTACGTTTCATTACTAGCAGCACCGTGGTGATTCACCTGGGACTAAAAAGGGGGTGGGGGGGAAAGAATTACACTTAAAAGGTTGGGAAAACATCTTACCAACTTTAAAACGAAGTGTGTAATTTGTGAGGACAGCACATGCTGGTTGCATGTGCAAAACCACCCACCTAAACAGGAAGCCACAGGATTTCAAAACTACTACGAGGAGGACCATTGAAAGGTGCGCCTTGAAAGCTGGCAAAATCATCCCCCCACCCCGATGACCTCACCCTTGGCCAGGAAGGCCTGAATGGAACTCCAGACCCAGTGGTGCTTGACTTGACTGGGCGTGTTGGGTCTGGTTTAGGTGGAGGCACAGCCTGCCAGACGCACCAACAGCAATGAGGCTACTCTTTGAGGAGGCCGGGGAGCTGGTACCATTCACCAAGGAGCTATGTGGGAACAAGTTCCGCACAGATCTCGGTCTCTCCTAACTCTCACACCAGAGTTCTCCAGACCCAAGGCACACCTCACAGCATGGAGGCCCATCCTGAGCACCACAGGGAGCACAGAGGATGGGGGACGCCAGCCACAAGGCCCTTCATCCACTCACACATGCCTTCCAGGAGTGGCTAATCCCTCCCCTCCAGAAGGGCTCTAGCAGGCCAGGCTGGCACGCTGCATGTTTACTTCTCTCGGTTCTCACACTACAGGGGAAGATGAAACATCCCAAGAAGACCCCAAATGATAGCCAGAGGGACCTCAAAGGACTAACAGGAAACAGAGAGATCCAGAAACCAGAAAACAGCATAAAGGGAGAAGAAATAAAATGGCAGATGGGAGGCAGAGTTCATAAAATGCTCTGAGCAAGAGACAGGAGGCTTCAGTCACTTTTTGGGTGTATCTGACCTGGTTATAGGCAGGGAAGAGGGAGAGAGGTGGCTGCTAATGTGACTGAGCTGGCCCAATGCCACCAATACTCCCTTCCTCCATGCTTAAAGGAAGACCGAAACCTAGAGGCCCAGGGTAGGCCATTCAGGGGCTTGGCAGCCTGAAAAAGCAGGTCTGATTGCTAAATGGGGAAGTGACAATCATCAGAATCTGGGCTAGTCTGGAAGAGTAAATGCTCTGAGGCTTATGAGGCAGTCTCCTCATTCCAGAGGCAAGTCAGGGTTTGCAAAGGAGTGGGTCAGAGAGGAACCCAGGCCGAGAGGTGGGCCCCTTCTCCTGAGCCCATTTCCCCACATTCCAACCTTCAGAATGGGCTGGCCAACCCCAGGCTAGCCAGGCCTGCAGCACCCGCCTCGGCACCACTGCCTTTCACTCCAGCCTCTCTCCAGTGTGCATCTTGTTCACGGTTGTGGAAGCTCTTTCATACCAGAGACAAAGGGCCTTAACAATCACAAACGACTTCTTTGTGTTCATGGCAGTTTATTGTTGCTACATTAATTCTGGTCCTCATATGGTCAAACT